ATCTGACTAAGCTTTATTCCTGTTTCATGCCAATAGTATTTCTGTTTCATCAATACCAAAATAATATTAGAGAAGATCGAAAAGTTAAACAGTTCTACTTTCCTCAAATTACGAAAGTTAGTCAAATTTACTGGGTCTTAAAATGAGTTAGAAGGCCCATCATGATGTCACTGGGATTGTACACATCTGCTATTGACTGCTGGTGAAGATTCTGTCATCCAGGTCATAATCATTCCAAAAAAAGTATAAAAAATAAAACATTTTCCAAACTGTTTTCCAAGTTTGAAGACATTTCACTTCCATCCCAATGTTCTCACCTGGGAAGGTTTTTGAGAAATGGAAAATAAATTTGAAAAACAGAAAATAAATTATCTAAAAAGCCAGCAGGAGGCATATAGACCGTAACAGATGAGGTTCATACTTATAACATCCGGTTGTCTGCAGTGGTCATCTGTTTAAGACATCATCTGCACACTGTCATCTGCAAGCTTTCGGCTATGTGCTACGTCCCAGAAAGCTGTTTGCTTTAGTGTAACTTGTGCATTTAATAGAGAATAGAATAGAATACAAAATCCTTTTATTGTCCCGTAATGGGGTAATTAAAATTAGGTTTTATTAAAGGGTAAATCAAACATCAAATGCTCTGTAAAGATGCTGGCAGAAGCCTGCAGAGAGCATCATCGTTCAGCTGTAGTATAAAAACTGTTCCAACATGAACCCTCATAGAGAAAGAAGTCATGAATTCAAAAGCAAGATAAAACACACATTCTTATTTTCACAATCAACCAGGGAAAATGTAACTGGATCTTCCAAATGGACCACATCCTGATGCATTTTATCAACCAGTTACAAGTTGGCGTAAGGACAACAAACTGTTGTGTTTTGTTGTGGCAATCACAAAGTCGGATTTTTGAGACGTCTGTTGGCAAGCAAGAAGGAAATGGCCAGAATTCCAGCAAATTATTGTGGTTGACCAAACTCAAACAATATGAAAAGCAGCTGTGCCAAATGCAAGGAAAGGAATATAAACATCTGAGTATAAGAAAGAAAAACGATCCTTAAACTGACCTAAAAGTGGGAAGATTTTCAGTTGTTTCTATTTTGCAGTTTATGTACGTACATACAGTACCTGGTTTCAGTTTATGTCTTTAAATGCAAGCAACATTTTAGTGACAAAGTAACACATTTTATCGTTGCTGTTGACATGGGCTGCCTCAAAAACACTTTCGGCCACCATAAGTGCATTTTCTTCTCCCATAGCTGAGGTGAAAACTGTAATCAGGGTTCCCACGGGTCCTTAAAAAGTCTT